TATGTATGCACCAAAGTGTTATGCATTCAATCCTGAATATCACATTCAAACTATACCTACAAGAATTCTAAATTCCGAACGTACCGGGCTTGAAGAATATTGATAATCCGAAATCGATGGCTTGCAGGGGTGAATCCTCTTTCTCATTAACAAAAAGGAAGTTTTCAGGCTTGAGATCCCTATGCATTACTCCCATGGAGTGACAGGCTTCCACAACACCGACTATAGTTCTTGCGAGACCGGCCGCCTTTCTTTCCGAGTAATGCCCCCTCTGTACGATTCTATCGAAGAGTTCTCCGCCAGCACACAGCTCCATGACAACGTGGACTGCCACGGAATCCTCGTAAGCCTCTTTGATGGTGACGACATTAGGGTGGCCGGCCAGGTGATGCATGATCTGAATTTCCCTCTTGACATCATCAACATCTTCTGGTGTCACAAGTTTCCTTTTGGCAATAGATTTACAAGCATACTCCTTCCCTGTACCTTTCTCCACACAAAGGAAAGTTGTCCCGAACTGGCCCTGCCCTAACTTCTTCCCTAAGTTATAATACTCCTTCAAATTACCTGTCTTGGTTTGTAGAACAGATTCCACCTTTAGCCCTGCACATGCTTGCCTCTTCACGTTATGGGGCTTCCGAGGTTTCGCGGCTTCGCCCTTAGGCTCTTCCTTGTTGGCCGTCCCCGCCACCACGGCGGCCGCTGCTGCGACCGCGATCTCCGACGGTTTGGATTCGAGTCTTTGGGGGTGACACTTGGATTGTTGCCTCTGGGAAGCCTTGGATTGTTGTCTTTGCATCGACATTGACATCGACGACTGTTGCCTTTGCATCGACATCGACGACTGTTGCCTTTTCATCGACATCGATTGTTGTCTATGTGTCATTTTCGATTTTTGCGTTTGGATTTGGATTTCCTCTCCGGTTCTTTCTCATCCTTGACAATCTTCATCTCTTCAGGGGGATCCTTCTGAACCGCGGCTTCCCTGGAATTGGCATCGGCAGTAGCACCTGTGGCTTCGGCTTCGGCTTCGGCTCCGGCTTCAGTTTCGCCTTCTTTATTTTCGGCGTTTTCGCCTTCGGTTTCGTTCTTCTTCTCCTCTTCGGCGGGCCGCCGCCGCAAATCGAACAAACACCTCCCATCTGGAAAAAAAGCTGAAACGACTCTCAATTCCCTCGCACCTTAATCTTCTTCTCCAATCATCCAACAAATCTAAAACCAAACGATATTTTTAACAACGTAAATCCTCATTTCCTCTTCTCCTTGATCCTTATAGTTTGTTTGGCTTCTGCAAAATATCATCAGTATGGAGCTTTCGCCAATCTAAACCGCCCTCCCTACACCTTCAACAATGGGGGAAAAAAGCAATCAAAACCAAGGATCCAATGGCAAACAATTTCATCAAAATAACAAGAAATTAATCTTTGAAGACCTTTTAATATACCCTTTAATCTCAATTAAACAAAAAACAATAAATTTTCAAGAACCTGATGTAAATACACAATCACAGGCCATGGCAATGATCTGAAAATTCAGAAAAAAGAAATGAAAAACATAGAAAAATGGCAAATGAAAAGGAGGGGAAGGGAAGGGAAAGGAAGAAAAGAATGGGAATTTGAGGCTTTTATTAATTTCTTTAATCAAAGAAGAAACAATGGCATTTTAATGTTTTATATATATATATATATATATATATATATATTCCTTTCCTCCTCTCCCCTTTCAAGAGGGAAAAGAAAAAAATGGAAAACAGAGATGAGAAGAGAAGAAAGACGACAGGTTTTTCCGTTACAAATGCTTCAGCCTTTTACGTGTTTTAATTGGGTTATGATGGGTAAACTCTATGTATGACCGCTTAATTATTATCTATTTTTGTTTTGGTCATTAATTTTTCAATTCTATTGATCTACCTACTTAAAGACAGGTGACTTAATTATCTATTTTCACTTGGGCGAGACATTTCACAACTTCTTCTCCCACACGAGTTGGTGTCTCACAAACCATCGCTCAATCTATATAATGGGGAAGGCCATCTTTAGGATGGGTTTGCATTAACACTGACGGAGCAGTTTCGAAAGATACTTTATATAACTCTGTTGGAGGAGACGTTCGCGAATGTGCAGGGTAGCAGATCCTTGGCTTCACTCACTTCTCATGTTGCTGCTCACCTATACAGGCAGAGCTGTAGGGTATATTTACTGGACTTAATACTGCTCGGAAGAATGGTTTCGATAGAGTCACCGTTCAATTTGACTGTCCTGAGACCATCAAGCTCATTGGAAATGAAGAAGTTAGCGTTGAGTGTCCTCACTACCTGATTTGTACCATTTGAAGTCTACGTCGACGACAACGGGAAACACAATTTGAACGAATTCCCCAGGAAGCAAACATGATAGCGGATGCTCTTGTAAAGACCGAAGTCCCAATACATCCTAATGTCACTTTGTTTAGTGTTGTTCCCTTGTCTACTTTAAATCATTCTAAAAGGGACATCCATGGTCCTCTGTATTTAAGGTCATAGTGTAACCTTGCGAAACATTACAATTCAAAAAAATAGTTAAATGATCTGATTGATAAAATTGTAAAATAGGTTCTCAAAGTGAAAGGAAACTATAGTTAAGTGGTTATACATATAATTTACCCAATAAGATTGTTGACTCTATATGAAGATCGACGGCTAAATTTTTTCTTTAAGGTTAATTAATATACTAATAATAATAATAATAATAAAAATAAGAAGTAAATAATATTTATTTAAAATAAATAATATATATACATTCTCTCTATTTAAACTAAATTATTCAAGTGGATTTAATTTATGATTAATCATGTACTAAAATTTAAGAAAAATAACACTTATATATCAACTGTACCAATAATGTTATTAATTTTTTTAGAATATTAAATGTTATTGGCCTAGATAAATTGGATTAAGAAACGTGAATATAAATATTTAATATTTAAATATAATAAATTTATTAGGTATAAATTTAGAAAAATAACCAATAATCCCAAAATGTGTGGAATTAGGTTTAATTGGTCAAAGATTGATAATGCTATTTCTTATTTCTTCTTTGTCTATAAGCTATTTTAGTACTTCACTTCTTTGGCCTATTTTTGCAAAAATGGTTATCACAATATGATAACCAGTCTTCAAACTTTTGAACATTTTAATTTCATCTTCAAACTATGACTCTCTTTCTAAATTGGTACCTAAACTTTTTGAGAATTTCAATTTCATCTCAAACTATATGTATATACAAATCACATTCTTTATTAATGAAATCATTAGTCCAAGTTGTATTATTATATGTTTTTTTTTGAAGAAAAACAAAATTCAGGTTAAACTATGATTGAAACTAATTACACATTTGGATGAATTTGGGATGAAATTAGAACATTTCAATTTCTTCTTTAAACTATTGACTCTCTTTCTAAATTGATCCCCAAACTTTTTTGAGAATTCCAATTTCATCCCAAACTATACGTATGTACAAATCACATTCTTTATTAATGAAATCGTTAGTCCAAGTTGTATTATTATATGTTTTTTTTGAAGAAAAACAAAATTTAGGTTAAACTATGATTGAAACTAATTACATATTTGGATGAATTTGGGGATGAAATTATAATATTCAAAAGTTTAGGGACTGATTTAGAAAGAGAATCATAATTTATGGATGAAAATAGAATGTTAAAAAGTTTAAGGACCAATTTAAAATGAGAGTCATAGTCTGAATACATATAACACAATTAACTCCAATATGATATTATGTTTATCATTTTCGTGATTTCAACTCTTTTCTCTTTCCATATTTGCTAAAGTTGACCACAATACAATGAATTACAATAAAATCCTCAAATATTTAATTTGATTTTATAATATTATCTGGTAAGGAAGATCATTACTTTCCTGGTTTAATTACTTTTTAGACCCTTTAATTTTAAAATTAATGAAATCAAACGTAATTTTATTAAATTTTATTATTTATTCAATTTTAGATATCCTATTTATTTCAAAATTAATCAATTTATCGTCTCAAAGTTCAATCCTGATTTTGTCCCTACATCGATTAATAATATACTTCATCCGTCCCATAATTTGTCGCTTATATTGACTATGCACTTAGTTTTAGGAGATATATTTGACAAAGGGAAATGACAATTTCCCTAAAAGATAATTGATAGATTTATCGATTTGTTTTGATAGGGGTAAAAAAGAGGGACATAAAAGGGTAAAAAGGAAATATAAGTGTTGTTGTTTGTTATTTTTTTAATATAATATTATGAATGAGATAATTTAAAAAAAATGATAGGGAAGCGGTGGCGGATTAATATCGTTGCTCTTGTTGAAGAATCAAACTTAGAAAACTCTAGACTCGATGAAGAACAAAGGGGATGAATAGTAAAAGGTGGCTCCCTTATGAAGGTGAACGGTAAAGATGATGATGGTGAGGATGAATTTGTGGAAAATAGATGGATAAGTGTCCTATCGAACCCTCCTAGTCGCAATGAAAAGGCAAACACGATAATATGGCTCTAACCAACCCTCCTAGTCGTGATGAAAAGGCAAATTAGAGTGTGAAGATTAATCTCCTCACAAAAACTTGAAAGAACTCCAGAAGAAGAAGCTTCGAAGGCACAAGGCAATCAGCACTTGCAAAAACGAACGAGAGTTGGAACCGTTGGAAAGATAAGAGACAGACGGATGTATTTCAAAAAGACATGTTGACCAAATAAGATCAGATCCCATTAAAAAAGTCGTAGCAAGTCTGTTGTTGTTCTGGTCTTCTTTTCCAAGGCTTGGACGAGTGGATTATTTGGAAGAGTTATTACTTTTTCCTTTGATGTGAGCCTTGTGATACATGTATAAAAAAGAGACACATTTAGTGGGACAAAGGAAGTAACATGAGAAAACCGCTTCGTTCGGCAATGCAATTTACCATAGCTAAACATAACAGTTTAAACTTTCATGATAACAAAGACAGCAATCGAAGTAAGACATGCATGATAAGAACATTCATGCAACATATAGAGTACTTTACATGGATTTCGCTTTAAAGGCATTGTTCTTGTTCCAAATTCTGGTGTTTAAACATCAGCCACAGATGATGCGAACCCGATGCTAAAATCGAACCCGATGCATGTCAACTCATGTTTGTTAGCATCCAACATCTTCATTTTCAGAGAGTATGAGCCCTGCACAAGGTTAAAATTTGTCGATGGCCTCAGAGGTTGAGTATGGTGAAAAGCCCCTTATCACATTACATCTCAATAATCTCATTGGCCTTAATAACATGAATGGATCGAGAGAGTGTTCGGGGGCGATCACACAATAGTTTAGATATTTTCTAATATAATTTTCTATAAGTTCTTACTTCTAACATAAAATCTTATGTCTGTGCTGTTCTATAGGTCGTCATTTGAAATTAAAATTGTTTGATTTTTTCGGTGATCGATCACATGAACAGAAGCAAATTTTAGACTTCTCAACTAGCAGTTATTCGAAGAAAAATCAAATGCATATGAAGATGGTGAAGAACCTTTTAGTCACAGTCTCATATACGAAAATCTAGAAAATAGCCTTTTATTGTATTATGTTGAACAGAGAACAGCAAAGAAAGAATGGGGATTTATTTCCGGGTAAACTATACATTTAATATCAAAACTGTCAATTTGATTTATTTTAGTACCTAAACTTTCAATTTTTTCAAAATCATACCTAGCGTTTAGTTTTTGTTTAATTTTAGTACCCCTTTCAAAATTTAACGTTAAGTTTTGAAAAACTTGAAAGTTTAGGTACTAAAATGGACCAAAATTGATAATTTAGGTATTAGATGTGTTAAGTTTTTAACGGTGAGGTACTAAATTGAAACAAAAAATAAAAAAATTTATGTACTAAAACAGACTAAAGCTGATAGTTTCGATACTAAATGCATAGTTTACCCTTTATTTCTAAGCTTAATGAGAAGCTGAGCAAATGAATGGGAAGCTACATGACATGACATAACACCTATCTTCCTATGTTTTTACTAGAAATTATGAAGTATTTGTCCAAAATTTCCATGAAATATATCAAAAGAGAAGGAAAGGACAAACCATATTGACTTTCTTTTTTCCTTTTATTTGCTTTGTTTCTTCTTCTTCTTCTTCTTCTTCTTTTCTTTTTTACTATAATAAAGATAAGGAAAACAAAAGTTGTTCTCCCTCTTCCTTTAAAACTGTTAATTCCTAACGACAAGAAGTTAGTTTAGGGACGAGACATTAGATCCCTTAAATAATATCATAGGTTCGAATCCTGAAGCTGGTGAATGAATCAAACTGGATTAGGAGGATCACTCTCGATTAACATATCAAATATCAATAGTTACACAACAACCAAAAAACTACTAATCCACAAAGTAAAACTAGATAGAAAGATTGGAATAAACCCATTTTAACTCTTATGCTGTTATGGATATGCAAGAACATTGGTGCAAACATTAAAGAAGAAGAATCCAACTTGGCAGCAACAATTAATCGGACTTTAAAGTTTAAGACTTACAGGAGGAGTATATCCCGGCAAAACTTGAGAGTGAGAAACCACAAAATCACCAGTGGACACAGGGCAAGATGTCTCATCGCAAAGGTCGTGAGTCTCGCTGTGAATGTGCCATCCAAAATACGAAACCACGATCACCAATTTCCCCCCCCCCCCATCGATAGCTGCACCTGTACATCATTATAGCAAACAAAGCTAGCCCCTTCAATTAAAAGCTAAGAACACTACAGATTTAGGTTGCATATGACAAACACCATCATCATCAGAATGTCTCTAACACAAATATACACAAGTTCTCAAACTTCTTCCATGCATGGAGGATCCTACCGCCATACCATGAGATAAATAATTTTAAGTATTTTCTTATATTTTTTATTGATATTATGTTTTTGTCCCTAAAATTCTTAGGTCCGTGTCCTAATTATACCCATATTCTGCAAGCCCCAAACTTATATGGTTTCTAGTAGAGGTGCTTAATGAGTTGATCAGCTCGTGAGCTGCCGAAATCAATTCGACCAAAACTCGATAAATACTCGACTCGGGATAGTTCGACTCAAACTCTAGCTCGAATCGAGAGTTTAACGAGTTGAGTCGAACAAAATCAAACTCGACTAGATAAGTTCACGAATAGCTCGTTATTTTTTATATAATATTTTGTAGTTTGGTGATTGCAAGCAACAATGAATAGAGTGAATAGACATAGATTTTCTTATTTTTAGAATTGATTATATATCGTTGAATTTTTTCAATAACGTTTTTAATATGTTAGTTAAAAAACAAGGTAAAATTTCTAGTTAGTTTAACGATCAACGAGTTCATCACCAAGTTTTTGTAACGAGAACGAGTCGAACAAAATTTTACAAGCTTAACGAGCAACGAGTCGAACAAAAAAAAATTTAACGAGCACGAGTCGGGCACTGCCCAACTCTCGATCTACTCACTCGATAACCACCCCTTGTTTCTACTTTCTAGCATCAAATAACATCTCTTCAATCAACAAAGAAACTGAAAAAAAAAAATTGATTCTTACCTGTTGTTGCAGCGATGCTGAAGGTAGCAGGCTTTCCCCGGGCGATCGGATTAGGCGAAATCTCAACACCTTGAACCTTTACATCATACTCAGCTCGCGTATCTATTTCACAATTCATTTATGTTCCAAGTAAACACGATATTGTGATAAAAACTAAAAGAATTTTCATCGATTAGCGAAATCAAAATCACTTTAATTTCAAAATAAACGCACCGAAGCTAGGGTTTAGAGGAACCGACCGCAATATCTAACGTCTTTGGCGACGGCCAAGGGAAGAACTAGGATCAACGAGAGGAGCAAGATGGGTGCAATAAACCGGTTGTACTGGATCATCATCTCCATCTGGTTTCGCTTTTACAGAAATCTAAAGTTGGGTTATATGTATTTATATTCAAAATTTGCGGAGATTTTTAGGATTTATTCTGTGTTTTTGGAAGATGGAAGAGTTCTGTTATGAACAGGAAGTCTCTTTTGGGAAGAAAGGTTGTGAATAGTAGTTTGGAAGAGATCTGGGCCGTTGATCTGTGTTTGTCAGCAATGATGAACGGGCACGATTTGTTAATTGGACGAACCAGACTGGCGAGTGGCGAGAGACCGTTAGGTGAAGGGTATCTTTTTTTTTTGAAATTAAAGGTTTAATACCAAAATAAGTTCCAAACTATACCCAAAATCTCAAATAGGTACCCAACGTTACCATTTAGGTGTTCGGGCTATCAATGACATTAATTCTCTCGTTAAGTGACACATGTTAAAAATATGGTAATTTTAAAAATTTCATTTAAAATTAAAAAAAATAAAATTATATATATTTTTAAAGAAAACATAAATATCTTGAAATAATCCTAAAAACTTTGAAAACCTTTATTTCAACCCCTAAACCCAAGTCAACCGTTGACGAAGCTCCACTTGATCTCATCTCCCCCGACAACTAAAACCCCCATGGAATCGTGATCAAACAACATTCGATCGGCGAAAAATCGACATTTTATACCCCACGAACCATAGGATGAAAATCACGATCTCACGCGATCTCGACGACCAATTGATGGCAACTACGATAACGTATGACTAGGAGGATGGCAGGGATTACATCAGCGATGGTGGTCGTGGTCACAAAGGGCGGCGACGGTAGGTTAAAGATATGATTTGAGAATTTTAGGTATTTTGAAGTTTTTTTTATAATTTAATAGAAATTGGGATTTTTTAAACAATATAATAATATTTTTTCTAAAAAAATAAATTAAATCCACCATATTGTGCTATGTGTCACTTAACGGAAGAAATTAACGTTGTTGACGATTCGGGCACCTAAATATGTAACGTTTGTATTGTTAAACACCTGGACGGGTCAAAAAATAGTTTAGACACCTATTTGAGATTTTGGGTATAGTTTGGGCACTTATTTTGGTATTAAACCAAAATTAAAACCGGTGCTCCTTTCGGTTTCGAGAACGAAGGGGGTATCTTTTCCTTTTATTTTTGTTTTTATTTTATGGGTAAAGTACACAAATGGTCCATCGACTATAAATTATTGTTTATTGTTACAAAATGGTCCTCTGACTATAGGAAGTTGATTTCTTAAGTCTCTCGACTATTAAAAATTAAAAAATGGTCACAAGACTATTCATTGTGTTCAAAACTCGTACTTTTTTGTTAAAAAAATTGGTAGTGGTTTGATCTGGACGTTAACCTGCTAACTGAAATATGATAATTGTTTGAGATTCTAGGTTCATATTATATCATATCTCAGTCAATACCTTATAGTCGAGGACCATTTATGTATTTTACCCTTATTTTTATTTACTTGATAAATTACACAGATGTTCTCATGACTAGTACAATATTTTGTTAAGTCTCGACTATAAAAATTATAAAAGACTCCTCTAATTATAATGTATTATTTTTGTTGAGTTTTTCGACTGTTAAAAGTTATAAAATGATTATTTGATTATTCATATGTTCCAAAACTCGTCTTTTTCTTTTAAAAAATTGACTACCGTTTGAACTGCATGTTAACATGTTGACTAAGATATAATAAAATTTGATCCCTAAACTGTTTGAGTTGTGTTTTTTGGATCAATTTTTTGTTTATATTATGTCATCGAGCCAATGCTTGAAATATCATGTCATTGAGTCAGTGCTTAAAAGCAACAGTGGTGACACTAGGCATTATTAAAATATGATTTTATTGTATCTTAATCAATAAGTGTCCACCTCATATAGTTGTAATTTTTTTAACAAAAAGTATGAGTTTGAAATATATGAATCGTAGAGTGATCATTTTGTAACTTTTGATAGACGGATGACTTAACAAAATAGTGTCCTATAATTAGACAAAATTTTTATCATTTTTAGTAGTTGAGGGACTCAACAAAATAATAAGGGATCATTTGTATTCTTTATATTTTTTGGCAAATTACGCATTTAGCACATAAACTATCAATTTTAGTTAGTTTTAGTACCTAAACTTTTATTTTTTTCAATATCATATCTAAATTTTAGTTTTTCTTTCATTTTAGTACTCTTCATTAAAAACTTAATACGTTTAGTACAAAACCTATTAATTTTTGTCTATTTTAGTACCTATACTTTTAATCTTTTCAAAAGTTAAAGTTAAATTTTGAACTGGGATACTAAAATAAAACTAAAACTAAAATTTTTAATGACGGGATATTTAAATGAAATAAAAACTAAACGTTAAATATGCTTTTGATTTTTTTTTTGAAAATTTAGGTACTAAAACATATCAAAAATGATAATTTAGATATTAAACACGTAGTTTACCCTTTTATTTTTTCCGGTTCGTGTAATCAGTATGGCCCAACACAAAGTCTATAATCCAAATTCTGGACCAACTAAATGGAAATACCAAACCAAATATTGTCAGAACCTTATCCATCTTCGCCCTTCAAAAATATCCCATTATCTTTCAGTACTTTCATTGGCCATCCATTCCTGCATTCGATCTCTTTGCTCCGCAGAAATATGTCAGCTGCCACACTTTCCATGGCTGCAACAGTTGCAGCTTCATCTTCTTCACTCTACAATACCACCAAACCCTTTCACTTTCGTCCTTCAATTCTCAATTCTAAGCGCTTAAAACCCTTCAACCTCAAAACCCAAACCCTCAATCCCCTTCCCCTATCTCTTCCACGTTTACCTTTCTTTTCAGCTTCTTTCGACGGCGTTCAAGTTACCCAGGATGACCAAAGCACTGAAGAACAATACCCAGAGGCCGAAATGCAAGAGGAAGCTGAAGAAAAGGTTTTGGAGACCGGTGGTGATGAAGGGAAGTTGTATGTTGGGAATTTGCTTTATTCAATGACTTCTTCGGAGTTAACTGAGATTTTTAGTGAGGCTGGTCGTGTTGCTAAAGTCGAGGTTTGTGTTCTTTTTAACTAATTCCATTCGAGTTTTATCGAGCGAGTGAATCGTAAATTGGGCAGTGTTCGACTCAATCTATTAAGGTTTCAAGTTGAGTTCAAACTCGACTCGAGTCAACCTGAATCAAACATTAATCTAGTTTTGACCGAGTCGAGTTCGAGCTGCTCAACTCATTAACCGTCCCTAATCCTATTTGATTTTCTTTGTTCTTTTTTGATCTTATGGCTTTCTCTTGCACAATCGTGTTCAATAGATTGTTTATGATCGAGTCACGGATAGGAGCAGGGGATTTGGCTTTGTAACAATGGGGAGCATTGATGAGGCCAAAGAAGCAATTAGGCTGCTTGATGGATCTGTAAGTTGATTCTTTTACTTATATATTATCCATTGATTGAACCTTAATTTATTTATATGATGTTTTGATTCCCAGTGAAATATGTTAAATGTATGAACGTAAAGACCATAAGTAGCTTTTTATCACTAATTTATTTGCATTTCTTGATTAAACAACCACTCGGTGTTGATTGTTAGAGGAACTGCTGTTTGAATTCGGGTTTTGATCTTACATAATTCATCTTCTTCGAGTCGTCGCCGCACAAAACTTTCCGGTTTCCACCCTTGACAACCCTGAAACCACTAAAAAATAGTATACTCTTCGATCCTCGAACATTGGATTCGAGAAGACTATATGATAATTGCTGGATTTTTAAGTCTCTATGAGGTGGAATTGATTCGACTTGGATGCCGAGAACGGTGTAGTTTTGTTTAGGATCGAAGAGCTCTCATATTTTCAATATGTAGAACACTATTTCATCAGAATCTCTGTGTTTTTCAATCTGGTTCTAGTTTTGGATGGATGGGAGTGAGTGCCAGTGCAATGATTTTTCTGTATAAATTTTCATTTGTGTTCCTTTTCCAGATTTAGCTCATGCACCAGAAAGTTTTGGTGAATGCTAGCTAGGTTTACAGTTCTCATTTCTGTTTGTTAACAGCAAGTCGGAGGTCGGACCGTGAAGGTGAACTTCCCGGAGGTTCCAAGAGGAGGTGAGAGGGAAGTAATGGGACCAAGGATTCGTAGAGGTTATACCAGCTTTATCGACAGCCCTTACAAGATCTATGCGGGAAACCTCGGTTGGCGAGTCAGTTCGGAAGGTCTCAGGGAGGCTTTTGTTACCCAACCTGGCTTGTTGAGTGCTAAGGTCATCTACGAAAGGGATACCGGAAGATCTCGAGGTTTCGGATTCGTTTCTTTCGAGTCGGCCGAGACCGTCGAGGCCGCTCTAAGCGCCATGAATGGAGTGGTAAGACTCAGTTACTGAATCAAATCATGATTGACGTTTGTTTAGCCTTTTAATTTATGTTCCATTGTGATCATACTTGCAGGAAGTTGAAGGCCGACCTCTATGTTTAAATTTGGCTGCGGATAGAACTCCCCGTGCTCCTTCGACTGAACCCGAAGGAGATGCCGGAAATAGTCTCGAAAGCAGCGAATTGCTTTCGAGTGCCACCGTTTGATAGACTTGTAAAAACAAATATGTGGTTTTAAAGGAGGATCAAGAAGATGAGATGACTATGCAGCTTAGTTGGTAGAGCACAAGGTTCTTAATCTTGAGGTCGTGAGATCGAGTCCCACGGACGGCATTTCATAATTTGGAGGGTCTTCTACGGGAGCTGCTCTCAATCTGGTGTTGGGGGCAGCCACTATCTTACCTCCCCTTACCCTTTACATATGAGAACAAGGGACAACCATTTAAAGGAGGATCAAGAAGATCATGCAGATATATTTGCCTTTCACTTGCAGATTTTGAGTTGAAATGAATTTTTTTTCTTCTTTCCCTTTGTCAATAACTATTTAAAAATGAGTTACATGTAAATTATAGAGCAAGGGGAGATGATTCACTCTACTTTTAAGTTTTGAAATATATGTTATTCTATTTAAAAATGAGTTACATGTAAATTATTCGAGTATTTGTGTATTTTTTATGCCTGATTGACGTGTTTTAAGATGGGTGTTCAAAATTTTCTTAATATTATTGATAACGCATATATATTTTATAGATGTAATTGTTCGAACTCGTAGCATTAAAGGAGAAACATTTTCTTTTTACCATTGAAGTTACTTATTGAATTGTGTAATTATGAATAAGTGAATGAACTTAAGTTTGCATTTATTAATTCTAAATAGATGATAGATGGTAGTTGATTTCAGTAGTTGGTTTGACCAATTGATTTAATTAGTTGATTTAAGAAACTGATTTTATTAACTGTTTATATAGAAGTGTTTGGTAAAATTTAGCTAATATGGGTAAAATGGCAAATAAGGGTATGATACATTTAGTTGTTAAGTACATATATTTTATAATACTTAAGTCTTTATTGGGGTGAAATTATTCGGATAAAATGTTTTTCACAATGAATTAAAAATTCCTTAAGAAAATAAGTGAATATTTTTGAAAAAATTTGAATATTTTTTAAATTTAATATTTACAAGTATTAACATCGTGAGATTGATACATACTATTAACTTTGTATAAAATATTAACGCTACATTTTTTTTTTGCTTTCATGTTTTGCTATATTTTCTTAACTAAAATATATTTGAGAATCTACAACTAAAAAATAGAATAATAAAATAAAATTTCAGCTTAAATATATTAGGATGAATACTATTTCATTATATTAGATTTTATGGTATGAATGTAATTATAGAAAAAAATAAGGTTAAATATGTCATTTAACATCTTATTTTGCAATCAGCTCTTTCAAACCGTTGGATTTTCCAGCTTTTTCATTTTCAGTTTATTTTGCACAATAAACTCTTTAAAAAAGATGTTTAATAAACACTAAAAATAGAGGATTTGACTATCAATCAACTATTTATGCTCAAATAAGCTAAAAATTATTCAAAAAATTGTATGTCAAACACTCCAAATATGTATTTTTTTTGTTACATAAAGTTTAAATCAGGGGTGGGTCACCTAGTTAAGGACCAGGGTATATCTAAGACTCAATTGAGATTTACATAAGAATTTACAAATTGCCCAACAAGAGTGACGGCAGTAAAATTTGTGAACTTGACCATACAAGCTAAATTTTTTGAATTTCAACTACTTGTACCAACACTCGTTGGAAAAGATAATATGTATTTATTAAATAGTACATATGCAGCAACAAAGAGTAGGAAAAAAAAGAACTAGTTACAAGGAAGAAAGAATGTATAATAAAAAGGATAAATTACAAATTTGATAACTGAATTTTATTATCATTTGTTTTATTTACTTTACTTTTAATTTTTTTTAATTTCCTCAATGAATTTAATAGATAAGTTTTTTTTGTTACTCAGTCGTTTTAACGAGATTATAAATGAGTTTTTATATAAATACAAAACGACGTCATTTTGGTGAAAATTTTATTTTCAAAACGTATTATTTTAACACTGTTAACTATTTAAAGGCGGAATAATAAAAAAACATAATGTATTAAGTTCAATGAGGAAATTAAAAACTTTTAAAGGTCAATGAGTAAAATATGAGAGATAGTAAAATTTAGTGATGAAATTTGTAATTTACTCTAATCGCATAGCTAACATCTCAACATACGATTAAGCTGTAGCCGGAGGCGGTGGTGGAGCAGGTGTCGTTGGTGTCGGACTTCTGTTTCCACCGCCGCCGCCGCCGCCGTTGTCTTCCCATGGTCTTACAGTGAACAGCACCACAAACAAGATGATGAGCAGCAAAAGTATGATGGCATAACAAGTCCATTTGCGGGTGTTTTTCTGGTAATTCCTAGCGGTTTGAAGCTTCTCGGTTCCACCTCTCACGTATGAATTGGCCCTGTTCACATGGCTCTCTATATCGTCCAACTGCTCGCCCTGAGCCTGAACCAGCACCGCCATGTCCAAGAACAACTGGTGCAGTTCCTGGAGATTCTTCACCAAATCTTTGACGGCGTCGTGCCGTTCTTGAATCTCATTGATGGTGTCCAAAACCCTACCCCTCCCTTGTTCTTCAATGGCCTTTTGTAGGAAACTCTCACTCTCTCCTGCAAATGTAACACACAAATTCCCAACATTTGTGATATATAAAAACCCGAGTCTGATTCGATCAAAGTTCAATCGATATTCGATTTGAATAGATTTAGCTAGAGGTTAAATTTAATTTGAGTTTTGAACGAGATGAAATAAACTGCTTAAAATCTGACTTAAATATCTCGAGCAACTCGAGAAAATAATATATTAGATTTTTAATCTTTTAAACTTAATTATTAATAATATTAACATTTTCGTATATTTAAGATTACAAATGTAAGTTTTCTCGAGATATGTAAAAAGAAATCCTGATGACATATATCCTTAATCTTAAATGGAATGTAACAACGTAAGATTGGGATCTATATGTAAACATAGTATCTATTTGGATAGACTCAAATGATCCCTTCTCATAAAGGAAGTGTATATAACCTTATTCTGATTTTGTTTGATATAAATTAAACTTATAATCATAAAATCGACTCTCAAATTAAATTTTAATTTTTGATTTCGAGTACAAATCAAATACGATAATTTTAGGTTTACAAATTTTTCAGTTGAATTAAACTTAACTTTAAACTTAATTAAACTCGACTCGGTTTAAATACAACATGATTAATAAAAATTTAAAAAAAAAAGAAAGAAAAAAAGATTAAACTGACCTGTCGAAATCAAAAGATCAAGAGTTTTGTCGTCTGGGTTTTCTCCGGTGACCGTGAAATACCTTCTTTGAACGGTTTCCCTATACTCCGACGAGATCTTTTCTCTCAATCCACTAAAACTTTCCATAGAATCCTTCAATTTCTTCCTCAGGCCGCTCACAACCGATGTCCTCGTCCGGTCTGAAGAAGAACCCGGACCGAACCCCGGCAAGCTCCGGCTGGCGGCGTTGGAGCGGTCAAGTTCTTCCAACCCGGCCTTAATCACCTTGGCCTTTTCCAAAGCCATGGCCACATCAGCATCCATCTTTGCTCTCAACTCTTTCACGGCTCTCGCGTTGTGCAAAGTCTTGCTCCGCTCGTGAGACGACGAGAGGTCGTCCTTCAGCCTATCGAGTTCTCTGAGCTCGTCATTGATGGACTCCACATCTTCGAAGAACTTGTGGAGGTCAACGCCGCCGGAGGCGGAGGAGGAGGCGTGCGTCATCTCGATTACGTGGTGATCAAGGGAAGCTTCTTCGCTTCGAGAGCGAGAGAAAGAGCCTGAGAACAGATCGTTCATCTTCAGTATGCTTCAAAAACAGGATCAAATCATAAACATGAATATCTTTGATTGTATTAGATTTTAAGAAAAGGGTATTGAAGATCGAAGATCAAAGCGACTAGAAATGGCGAAAAAGAGGGGATTGAAGTGGTCAAAATGGGGAGGGAGAAGATGAAATAGGCATGCAGATTTGTTTAAATTGTTTATTGGTTTAAATAGGACGGAGTTGAAAAGAGGAGGAGGAAACGTCATGGAAAGTTGAAGAAACGAAGGTGACGACTGAGTCAGGCATGAACCGACTCACATTGTTTTCTGTTTGCTCAAGTTTTCAATGTTGGCTACGGAAACGCGTCTGTGCGTGTGGGCGCGTGTGTTTGAAAATTCTGGATAATTGGTTTGGTTCGGTAGTAAATTTGTTTCCTCCGGTTGTATATTTTGGTTTAGGAAAGATTTTGTGATTGTTGGCGAAATCAAGAAATTGAATTCTAGTAGAAACCATTTCTTATTTTTAGAAACCATTTCTTATTTTAGGGAAAAATACATCAGAAGTCCATGTACTTTTAAAAAATCAATGTGATCATCGTATTATTTTTTCTCTCAATTTGGCCCACCGACTCAGAAGACAAACCCAATGTACCCTTTTGACCAACGTTTTTCGTCGTTGACCGTTACGGTATTGGCGTGATAGTTCACGATGTTGATGTGGTAGTCCACGGTGCCGACACTTCAGTCCATCTGTCATGTTTGAGTTACCAATTTAGCCCATCTAACATGCCACCCGTCACGTTATCAACCACCGTGGACTGCTACATCAGCATCGTAACAGTCAATGATGAAAAAATTGGTCAAAGGGTCATATTAAAATTATTTTCTGAGTTTGAGGGTCACATTGAGAAAAAATAATATGAGGGTCACATTGGTTATTTTAGGTATAGGGACCTTTGATGCCTTTTTGCCTTTATTTTAATTATATATATTTATTGTTGATTATTATTTAGGGTAATATATAAACGATCATTCGATTATAGAGTGTTACTTTGTTGAATCCCCCAATTATTAAAAATTATAAAATATCCCTAACTAAAAGATTCTGCTTTGTTGAGTTCGTTCACATCTAAAAGTTGTAAAATAGTCACCTGATTATTTATATGTTTTAAACTCGTTCTTTGTTGTTAAAAAATTAGAGATCTTTTGAACTAAAGATTAACATGCTCATTGCGATATAATAAAATCTAATTCTAGAAATGTTTGAGTTGTATTTTATGGATCAAGTCTCTGTTTACATTATATCGTCGGGTCAGTGCTTGAAAAGTTATGCCGTTGAGTCTGTGTCTGAAAGTAACGATGGTGTTAATAGATATTATCAAAATATAATTTTATCACATCTCAGTCGGTGTGTTAACATCTAACTCAAATGATCATCAATTTTTTAACGAAAAATGATTAATTTGGAACAAATGAATAATCGAGCAATCATTTTATAACTTCTAATAATTAAAGGACTCAACAAAACAATACTATAGAGTTAAAAGATCATTTTATAACTTTTAATAAAATAATGTCCTATAATCGAAATCTTTTTGTATACTTTACTCTATTATTTATCTTAGTTTTGAGTGAAATGCTTCAACTATATTAATGCTTCAACTATAGGATGACTGATGTTAGGTCTAGGTCATCATAATTATCAGTAGGCTATCAGTTTGTTCGGTTTATTTAACGACCTAAGATCATTTAAATTTTCAAAAATTTATAAATATAACATATGTCATGTTTTCGGTGGTTGACAATTTTTTAATGACCGTTATAGCATGGGTACTTAAAAGAATAACGAAAAAAATTAAACATTTACTTTAACGAAAATTATTTTACACCTAAAATTAATAAATGGTATAGTTTAGAACTATAAACAAAAATATGAATTTACGATTAATTATAACTCTATATTTTACTTAGTTTTTAGCCTGATTTCTTCAACAATTTTCAATTAAAAATAAGTGTAATTAGTTATAATAATAAGTAAGTTATAAATTACATTATAGGCTTAATATAAAAATAAGTGCATAAATTATGTCTCGAAAAATGTTTTGGTTCTTAAAGAATTTTTCGTTAAAAATAGGTATATAACGTTTTCTCTGTTATACTTTTAGGTATCTATCGTTATTTTTTTTAATTTTTGAATTTTTAATAATCAAATATTTTTTATAAAAAAAACCCTCCCCTCTCCCTTCCCCCTCCTCCCCTCAAACAGTCAAAGGCCGACTGTCACGATCAATTTCCACGATCGACTATCACGATTGACCAAACGAAAAACGACTGACCGTCGCATCCAATCAAACGGCCGATTACTACAACCAAAGGGATTTTAGGATTCAAAATCCTAAAATGAAATCTTTCATTTATACCTTTTTAGGTGTTCGACCAGTTACGAAAGTATGAGGATTTTGGTCGTGGGTGGTTGGCCTGTCACAGGTTGGACACAAAATGTCTCGAGATATGATCCCGTCATCCATTTTACAACCGCAAAAAGTAATAAAAAATAATTAGTACAATAAAATTTGATCAAATAATTAAATATGAAATAAAAATAATGTAATAAAAATAATTTTGCATTCTAAAAATTATAACAAAATCTATTTAGCTTGATAGAGGAAATTGACAGAAGGAATAATGTGAAAGTATTTTTAGTGTGGTTTGATATTTGGATTCGAGGAGGTATTTATAGGGGGAGGGGGATGGGTAATTGGCCGGAAGAGCTGGATGGTAGAGGCAATAATTGAAGGGGAATAATGGAAGGTGCACTTCATGATATGCGCCTTCCCCCGTGTCAGAAAACCCCGCAAAGACGAGCTTCATGAGTCGCGTCTTTCCATCGTGGTGCCAGCTCAGACGTACCCCCAGGAAGACGCACTTCTTGATCTACACCTTCCATCCACCTATCAGAAAGTGTAATAGATCGATAATATTTGAAGAAACTGTGCCTAACAAGTAATTATTTACTGTTAGGATGATTTTTGGGTAAAAATGCCTATAATTTAGGCACTTTTTTTATTAAACCTTTTTTATATTCTAATATGTATTTAACATATATATATATATATATATAACTGTCGTTATTACAGTTTTTTATATTTAAATAAATTGAAAAAAATATAACATGTGTAAATGAATTGTTTTTTTTAATAATGACAACTAGATTTTTTTAATAATGGAAGGAATAAAAATTTCAACGCATAAAAAATAGAGATAAATTTGGAGACAATAGTCGCTAAAAATACTCATACGAAAGTAAATAATACACTTAAAAATACAAAGAAAATTAAAACCTTCTACTGAGAATGAAGACGAATATCAAAAGCTAATAACCTTCATACATACTCATTGTCTCCGTCGAATGAGACCTCTTGACGAAATGATAAAGGAGTGAAGAGCGAACCAATTAATCTAACAAAATGCTTCGCTACACTATTCTGATTACATCGACAAACAACCTTTTACCAAAAGAGGAGATCTGACTATACATGACCATCGACTAACCATTTAGAAAATAAATGTTGTGATAGTTTTTGTGCGAGAACCAAAACGACCGCAAAAGTATGCAAAAAAACGTACCGAAAATCATGAGGATCGTGCCACAAGAGCATAGAAAACGCGTTCCACAATAACAGAGAAAAATCATATCGCAAGGACAAAGATTCTTATTCAAAATTAAAAAGATTCAAGAAAATAAATATAAAAGATAAAATAAAAAACAAGAAAATTAATATTCTCCGATAATCATAGATTTATTTATTAAATATTAATACAACTTATATTTCATAATAAAAATTATACAAGTAATTTATATAATTACAGATTTTATACTTTAGAGAGCGATTAAAAAATGAATAATTTAAAACAAGAAGCGGAAGCGCAGTATTGAATTCATTTTTTTTTCATTTTTACCTCTATTGTATTTAGGAACGGACACAATATTTTATGATAAGAGCAGAATCTTTATAAAATTGTAAAGGTGAGCGTACATATAAAATGTTAGTACGTGAAAACTGATTATCAATAAAAAATACATAAAAAAATGTAAAATATAAGAGAATTTGAAAATTTCAAGGAAACGATGTTGGTATATATCCGATAGAGATTTCTTGAAAGACATTGCAAATGTGATTATTCCACAGTTCGAGTCTCAGCGATGTTGGTCCAGTTCGTCTCCACCGCACCAGAAGTCAAATACTTGGTTATCAATAATATTTATTCTATAAATTCGTAATTAAATAAACTTAATCATCAAATAGTCTGCAATCAATAGAATTATAATAAAATCGAACTTAATTTCTAATTAGAATTCGAGTTAATATCTAACACGAACAACAAACAGTATATCTGCATGCCCTCAGTACGAAAGTGACAAAATACGTTTTACAAAGTTTGACGCATAGATAATGTAAGCATATTCAAATGACATAAAAACATGGTTGGGTGCTAACGGGCAGGGGCTGCTGAAAGTTGTGGGTCAATAACCTGAAGCAAGCCCTGTTGCCGGTATTGTTGTGAGATCCTCCACCGAAATTTTCACAGCATCCCTCCTCACGCCGATATCAGCCACATACCGAGCTACACAGTACATTCCGATCGCTGTAGCTGCCATCCCATAAATGTTTGTAGTAACAAGACGTAAAGGGGTCGACAATGCAGCTGATAGAGGGACACCTATAATCGATGTCGCTTGACCGCTTTGCCCGACTGTTGCTCGATCTACAACGAGCAGCCCAGTCTTGCAATAGATAGCAAAATCCTCACAGTTGCTCTGGAAGACATTGTAGCGCCCGAATCCATATTCGAGCAAATATAGTGCACGGTGGACCACTAAATAATCTGGATCCGAAACTGCAAGAGTGCAAGTTCCCCCTCGTGCTTTTGCGATAAAGAGTGCCAGGTTGACCGCATACTCGAAACGGTACAAAACGCCACCGGCAAGGAAGCAGTTCAAGCATGAGCAAGCGACACCGTTGCGTTGTTCGAGTGGAGTGCAGATAGGGCAATGTAATCGAGATTGAGATGGTCCTGAGCTTACCAAGAAGAGATCCGCCACAGTTCCTGTACCTTCTTTGCCAAGTCTTGTAAAATGAATGACTGTATTGTTTCCAATATAGATGCCTGTTCTCGTTCAAAATCATAAAGATACGATTCAGTTGAAAATCGTATAATGCCAAAATTAGCACCCAACATCTAAGTTAGAAGTACCAAGAAGCAAATAATTCGACTTGGTTACGGTTAATTACGGCAAACCTTCTAATTAAGAATAGTGGCGTCCTCTAAAGAAGCTCATGTAGCACATAACTGACTACGGCAACAGTAAGCGATCATCGACGACAGAGAATGCAAACACTAAATCCGTAACCTAGAAACCATAAATCTAGCCAACAGTATTCATTTGGAATGCAGTTCCAGATAACTAAATGCACCTGCTCACATTGATGTCCCTAGTTGAAATTGTACGCTTTATTACTTGGGATATATGATCTAGCCTATAGAGTAAGGCCTAAAGAAATCATCAAAAGATATTATAAATGAGAAAGGTCCTAATGCTTAACTAATAGCAATCTCAGTGGTTAAACGAATGATTGTTATTCCTGGAGGTCACGGATTTAAGTACCAGGGATTGCAACAGGGTGATTGAGCGTTTATTGTCAAATGATCGAGAGTATTTAGAACATATATTACTTTGTAATCATCCTAACTTAATAAAAAAACAATTTTCAACAATAAATTCTACGAATTTCGAAAACAAAGAAGCAATGATACTTGACTACACCCTTTCATCATCGATTCAATGTTTTAAGTAAAAATGGGTTTTCCAAGAACAATGTTTATACATCAAATGTGGAGATGAAATTCAACCATATCCATCTCATGGGGTAAATTATTCAGATATCCAGATCAGGGATTTAAGTAGCGGTTCACTATTGGAATAGCGGCCGATGCCGTCCGAAACCATTATTGTACAACGGAGATACCCAATCGAGATAAACACAACGTAAACAAAAATGCAACGGCAATTTAAATCCCTAATCCAGATACTAATGCTTGAACAGAGGCACAATTTTCAGAGCATACCCACAAACTACAAGCAATCAAAACAAAATAAAAATGGAAAGGGAGTAAGTAAAGAACCGTGATGGGCATAAGTATAAGCAGTCCTCCACGAATAAATATGATCCCCTGTTTTCAGGCTCTTCCTGTCGATTCTGGGTAGCAAATTCATTCAATCACCAAATAATATAAAAAAAAAAACCCAAATATAAAACAAAAAATTGAGACTATTTGGGGCGACAAAAAAACCTGTTGGAAAGAAGCCCCATGTTTATTCCTCGTTAGTCAGAACCGGAGAATCGGATTGCTTTTAAGTCCGTGAAGGTCGATCGGAACTTGTCTCCTTTGGTTGCGACTTCCCGTAAACAGAGTTCAGGCCTCCAAGGAGAGTTTTGGTTGACTTCAGTCTTCGTCTATTTATTTGGGTTTACGAGTATTATTTTATAATTCAATTTAAATTTAAGGGTAAAATATAAAAATAATCCTTACTCAAGTGTAAAATTAAGTTTTAATCTTAAAATAATTTTACAAAGTATTTTGAACCGTTTCAAAGCAAAAAATTTCAGAATGTCCAGAGGGAACCGATTCCCCCTGAATGGTTTGGCTCCGAGAAAAACAGAATGCTCGGAGGGAACCGATTCCCCCCAGGGGTACTGATTTCCCCATGTTCAACGGTCAAAATATTTGAATTTTACACTTAGGGAACCGATTCCCCATGAGGGGGTACCGATTCCCCCCACGCTCCAAGCTGTTTTATTTATTGTTTTCACACTTAAACGGCTCTAATAACTCCACTAATCATCCCCAACGTTCAGAATCAATTGAAGGTGTATTTAAACAAGCTTAGAAGCCATTGATCAATAACAAGAAACAACAATCATCAAGAGTTGAGAGATAATCAAAGAGAAAGCATCAAACTCATTGTTTGAGCACTTCAAGCCTATTTTTCATTCAATATTCATTGTGCTTTCAAGAACAACATTTGTGCTCTATTGTATTTATCCTTGAGTGTTCTTTCTTTGTTCTAGAATTGTGCAAACAATCTACCTTGTGAGGTTTTCCTTGTAAGTTTGCAAATTTGTGTATTTCTCTTTGAAAAAGAGTGTGCTCAAGAATTTGGGGTATAATTCTTGAGGGAGTTGTAAGGTTACTCTTTGTCCTTAAAAGAAAGAACAAATTAGTGAATTTGTTGGGAAATCCTTAGTGTGGATAGCTAAGGTAGTGGACGTAGACTTTGGTTGAGAAAGTCGAACCACTCTAAATCGATGTGCAAATATTTTTAATTTTCTGCAAAAGCTACCACTAAAATTTTTTATTGCCAATTCACCCCTCTTGGCCATTTCCATCGATCGATTAACTCAACAATTGGCATCAGAGCTTGACTCATTTGAAGGTTTAACCTCCTCTTGAGTAGATCCGGGAAGAGTTAAATCGATAAAAGATGGCGTCCACTTCCGGTTCATTCTCTATGGAAGAATCCATACCAATTGACGTGCCTCCACACTTCAATGGAACAAATTATCGTTGTTGGATGAAGTTCATGATGATATTTATCCAAGCATTTGATATGGAAGCTTGGATGATGATCGAGAAAGGATATTCTTCTCCTACAAAGAAGGCAAAGAAGTGGAGTGATCAAGAACGGAAGAAAGCTCAACAAAACACAAAGGCTATGCACATGTTATGTTGTGCAATTGATCCTAATATATATAAAGGAGTTTCTTCTTGTTCAAGTGCCAAGGAGATGTGAGATAAGCTTGAGGAGATCTATGGAGACAAGGAAGAAGAATAACCAATAAAGGTGATGTCTCTATTAGCTCTCACAGAGCCAAATGTATCTTCTAACTCAAATAAATTAAATTCAAAATCTTTTAATGAGTTACAAGATGCTTATGATGAATTATTTTTGGAGTTTGAGACCATGAACTCCAAATACAATAAATTGATTTCTAAATTTATTGCTAAAAATGATCTTCTTTTGAAAGCTAAAACAGACTTGGAAAATCAAAATGAAATGTTGAGAAAGGAGTTAGAGCTTTCAAAAATAAAATCTGAAAACTTTGAAAAAGAAATTGTCAAATTAAACAAACTTCTTCTAGAAACGAAAATGAATTTTGAAAATCAAAATGAAATCTTGAAGAAGGATTTAGAGCTTTCAAAATGAAATTTGAAAATATTGAAAAAGAAAATTTCGATTTGAAAGTTAAACTTGAATGTTTAACAAAAGAAAAAGAGATTATTTTAAATAATTCATCTAGTTCAATAATGACAATATGTTCACATTGTCATTATCATGGTCATAAGGAACATACTTGTCCTTTAAAGAAAGGAAAACAATTTAAAATTAGACAAGTATGGGTTCCAAAAGGAACAAGAGGCATTGAAACTAATGTTCAAGGATCCAAAGCAATTTGGTTACCAAAATCTACTTAAATGTCTCTTGTAGGTGTGTGGGAGGAATGGTTATGAAGATGATGATATTCAAGATGCTCTAGCCACACATGAAAAAGGAATGGGTAACCTCTAAACTTAATATTTTTATTTTATTTGGTTGCTCATTTAGTTTATGCATGCATAAGGTTTTAAATGTTGAATAATTCTAAATGATTATATTTTATCTCATGTATGTTGAAAAATATTGTATGATGAACATAATAATTTTTGGTAATGTTTTATAAACTCTAGTTCATCATATTAATTTTTGGTCAAAATTGTTTTTAAAATGTAATTGATATCTCTTTAACAATTGATATCGATTTTTTTAAAATATTATAAAGTTTTAATGCATAACATTTTTCAAAAACTTTATGCATGTGCTCTTAATCTCGATAATCAACATTGCAAAATGTTTTGTATGTGAATGGATTAAAGCATAATCCGATTAGATGAATTTGACAAAAGATACAATGTCTTATTTTTAAATTAAGTGTTTGCAAAATTGATTGACATTGCATCTACTTTGATTATGTTTTTTGGTCATAGAATAGGAAACATTTACATGGTGCATTTAGATTCTATCAATATGACTAATTTATGCCTAGTTGCTAAGGATGAGCATGATAGTTGGTTATGGCATAGGAGACTAGGACATGCTAGTTTGAGTGTTTTGCAACGATTGATTCAAGGAGATTTAGTTAGAGGGTTGCCAAAGCTAAAATTTGATAATGATAAAATTTGTGATGCTTGTGCTAAAGGAAAACAAAGGCAAATTTCTTTTAAATCCATTAATGACGTATCATCTAGTGGAGTATTACAATTGATCCATTTAGATCTTTTTGGGTCATCTAGAACTACTAGCTTGGGTGGAAAATAATATGCATTTGTTTTAGTAGATGACTAATCTAGATATACTTGGGTTCTATTCTTAAGTACTAAAGATGAAGCATTAGAAAAATTCATCACGTTTTTCAAAAGTAATCCAAAACAAAAAAGGTTACTCTATAACTACTGTTAGGAGTGATCATGGAACTGAATTTGAAAATCTTGGATTTTCTGAGTTTTGTAATTCTAATGGTATTAGCCATAATTTTTCAGCACCTAGAACCCCTCAACAAAATGGAGTTGTTGAGAGGAAAAATCGAACTTTAGAAGAAATGGCTAGAACCATGCTTTGTGAAAACAATTTGCCAAAATATTTTTGGGCGGAATCCACAAATACCACTTGTTATGTTATTAATTGAGTAATGATTAGGCCTATTTTAAAGAAAACTCTATATGAACTTTTCAAAAATAAAAAGTCTAACATTAGTTATTTTCATCCTTTTGGATGTAAGTGTTTTGTTTTAAATAACGGTAAAGACAATCTTGGAAAATTTGATGCTAAAAGTGATGAAGGAATTTTTCTGGGTTATTCCTTAAATTCTAAAGTTTATCGAGTATTTAATAAAAGAACCTTAGTTGTAGAAGAGTCTATACATGTTGTTTTCGATGATAATCTCATTCCGAGGAAGGATTCTTGTGTGAATGATGATGTAGGTTTTATAAATACAAATGACGTTAGACATGACGTTGGAGAACCATCATCAAAGGAAGAAACGAAAAATGAGAAAACTCATGATCCTCTCAAGAATCCAACCATTAAAGAAAGGGAAGTCTCTTACCCAAGGGAATACAACTATGTCAAGGATGGTGAGATTATAGGTGATCCATCCAAAGGGGTAACAACTCGATCATCTCTTAAAAATATTTGTAATTGTGTGGCATGCATCTCATGCATAGAGCCTAAGAATATTAAAGAAGCATTAAAAGATGAACATTAGATTATGGCTATGCAATAAGAGTTAAATCAATTTGAAAGGAGTAAAGTATGGACTTTAGTTGAAAGGCCTAGTAATAAATCTATTGTAGGTACTAGATGGGTATTTAGGAATAAGCTTGATGAAAGTGGTAATATAGTGAGAAACAAGGCTACACTTGTTGCTCAAGGGTATACTCAAGAAGAGGGCATAAACTATGATGAAACATACGCTCCCGTAGCTAGGATGGAAGCAATTAGAATGTTATTAGCATTTGCATGTTTTCATGAATTTAAATTATATCAAATGGATGTTAAAAGTGCATTTTTAAACGACTTTATAAAGGAAGAAGTGTATGTGGAACAACCTCTTGGTTTTGAAGATTTAAAATTTCCAAATCATGTTCTTAAATTGACAAAAGCACTTTATGGTTTAAAACAAGCTCCTAGAGCTTGGTATGAAAGATTGTCAAACTTTTTAATTGAAAAAGATTTTTCAAAAGGGAAGGTTGACACTACATTGTTTTTAAAGCATAAAGGTAAAGATTTATTATTAGTTCAAATTTATGTTGATGATATAATATTTGGTTCTACTAATGACGTTCTTTGCCAAGAATTTTCTAAGCTAATGCAAAGTGAATTTGAGATGAGCATGATGGGGGAGCTCTCATTTTTCTTGGGACTCCAAATCAAGCAAAGAAAAGATGGCATCTTCATCAATCAAGCTAAGTACGTTAAAGATATGCTCAAGAAGTTTGGACTGGAAAATGGGAAACCTTATGATACTCCAATGAGCTCATCAACAAAGCTTGACATAGATGAATAAGGTAAATGTGTGGATGTTAAATTATATAGGTCAATGATTGGCTCTTTGCTTTATCTAACTGCAAGTAGATCGGACATTATGTTTAGTGTTTGCTTATGTGCTAGATTTCAATCATGCCCTAAGGAATCACATTTACTAGCTGTTAAGAGAATCTTTAGATACCTTAAGGACACTCCTAGTTTAGGACTTTGGTATCCTAGAAACTCTAGTTTTAGCTTGCATGCATTTTCTGATGTGGATTATGGAAGATACAAATTAGATAGGAAAAACACCTCCGGTACTTGCCAATTCCTTGGAAATATGCTGATTTCTTGGTTTTCAAAGAAACAAAATTGTGTTGC